CCCTCATTCATCAAATGCAGAGGCAGTCTGACAATTGTATACAAAAGGCTCCTCTTCCTGACTTTCCAGGCTTGGCTGCCCTCCATATTACAAAAACCCAGCTCAGACCCTGCTCTGTGTGGATAGAAAGAAAACATCTCAGAGCCAGCTTCAGCTGCTCATTTCGCCGGGCACTTAGTATAGTTGTATACTGTACCATTCTTTGCTTTATTTAATTATTGATCATGCATTTACTCTGGTTGACTATCATTGAGAAACCTTCCTCTCTGGCTACTAAGCTAAGACAGAAAGATCCAGAGGGCTTTTAATAATAATAAAAAACAGGTGGTGGCATCAGTCTTCTGTACTCATATGAAAGGTTTGGCTTTCTCTCTTTCTGTGTGTGGGCATATGTATAAAAATAAGGAGTCTTCACTCCATATGTAGAAGCCAGATATCTATTCCAGGAGCCAAATTAAAATGTTCAGGGTAAAGATCTCTTAAAATTTCATGCAGTAAAGACACTTCAATCCATCAGAGGGCAGGGGACACAAAGGAAAGATGTAAAAGGAGCTAACAAAGTGGGCTATGACTTGGTTTGTATGTAATGACAACACATCAGTTAAAAAACCCTTCATATTTAGGGTGGAAGAGAGATGGGATAGGATTAATCAAGGGATCAAAATTTCAATCAGAATGACCATCGAGACAAGGTAATTGTTCAAAGGAAGTGACATCTCACAACTGCTTTGCTAGTGCAAGCCCAGTTCAGCTTTGGTTTCAGACTTTCAAGGACTCCTTATGGTCACAAAATGGGCAATCTAGGAATACCAGGGGTTGAACTCAGAACTACGATTCAATCTTATACAAGTTCAGACAGAAAAAAAGGCCTCCAACTGTCTGTCCAGTTGCATCTTGAATGCCTCTAGTATTGGAGAGCCCACAACCTTCCTAGGTAACTGGCTCCATTGTTAAACCATCATTCAAGCCTGTGATCCAACAAAAAGAATTCAACAATTTTTATGCAGGAACGCTGGATTAGGATCAGTGAAAGAAGCAGTGAAAATTGGTGGAAGATATATCAATAGTTTAAGATATACAAATGGTTCCATTTTATGGGGAGAAAGCAACGATGAATTGAGAGAAGTTCTGGTGAAAGTGAAATACGAAAGTGCAAAGGCAGGACTGCAGCAGAATGTTAAGAAAACAAAAATTGTTAGTACAGAAGAATCACAAAACTTTTATGTCAACAACGAGGAAATTGAAATCGGGAGAGATGTTACATACCTTGGCTCAGTCATCAAGCGGAGATGACAGCCAAGAAATTAGAAGAAGACTGAATTTGCAAGGCCAGCAATGAAGGAACTAGAAAAGATAATCAAATGTAAGGATTTTTCACTGCAGATCATCCACACTATTGTAGTGCTGATTACTATGTATGAGTGTACGGATTTGCAAGGGTTGAGCAGGGTCGTCAAGGACAGGTCATTGTGCAGGGTATTTATTCACAGGGTCTCCATAAGTCAGAGCTTACTTGGCAGCATATAACAAGAACAACAAAAAATAGACTTTATGTATAGGAGTAAATATGCATAGTGTGCCTTCTAGCCCTTTAGGTCAGACGTTGACAACACATCATCCAACAAAGGAGACATTCAGCCAGCCCAGGTCATTTTTGTTGCCCCAGTGTGTGCATCCACTGTTGCCACCACTGCCATTGAATTTGCAGGAGTGACAAAGATCATGCTGATTTAGCATGGGAAAACAGAACCTTGCTTCTGGAAGCATGGCTCTGCTTTGAAACAGGGCATTGTGATGGGCACATCCTGTAGGTTTTGCTGCTACATTATGTTTGGTGATGTCAGGTATGGCTCCCAGTGGGTTTCAGCTGTCCCATGAAGCCCCTGTCAGAGTCTCTTTACCGATGGTGAGAAGGAATACCAGGACCTGCAGGGAAGGTCGAACCACCTTGAAGCCCTGCATTTTTATTGGTGAGATCACCCAGGCCCCCTGCTGGTACTTATGACAGCATGCTATCTGGTGGTGGTCTCCACTGCCAACTGCAAAATCACAGCCCATGTACAGACATTTTTCTAGCCTTCCAGTCATATGCAGAGTATTAGGTTTCCAGATAATGCTAACATAATATAATAGCATCTTGATGTCTTCATGCACAAAACAATGCTCTAAAAGATCAGAAATGCCTGTGTCAATAGAATAGAAAGAATGGCCTGATTGAGCCTTATTGACAAGTCAATTTGGTTAATTCCTGACAGTTTGGATAAGCCTGTGTCTATTTAAACATGCAAATATGTCTGATGGAGGAACCAATTCAGGAAAACTGGTTTGACAACTACACTGCTGCTTGCCTCTGTGGAACTAGATGATTAAATGGGTCCATTCAGAAACGAATGTCTTTGACTCAGCTCCCTGCAGCTGATGGGAACACTGGTATTTTCCCCACTGATAGAGTTAACCTTCAAATACTTTGGCCACCTAATGAGAAGGAAGGACTCACTGGAGAATAGCCTAATGCTGGAAACAATTGACGGCAAAAGAAGAAGGGGACGGCAGAGGATGAGGTGGCTGGATGGAGTCACTGAAGCAGTCGGTGTGAGCTTGAGTGGACTCCGGACGATGGCAGAGGACAGGAAGGCCTGGAGGAATGTTGCCCATGGGGTTTACGATGGGTCGGACACGACTTCACGACTAACAACAAGTATTAACCTACAGTCCAGCGAAGAATTTCATCTTCTTAAAGGAACAACAACGCTAAACAGTAACCTGCCTGGGAATTTTGCTGCTTTTCTGAGAAAGGAACGCAGGTTTGATTTTAAAACACGAAGGTACATATGAGCAATCTTTTTCTACCAGGATTTATCTGGATTTCCCCAACATCTCTGCCCCAACCCTAGAAATTGCCCAATTGTGTATAGAGCCCAAATTGTTCATTTTAGAGGTCAAATGTGGGTGGTGGAGAGGTTTTCATACGAATTCAACTGTGCCTACTATTTTTCTCCTGCAAAATAGTTTGCATAGTAAGCATTGTAAGCCATAGCAACGACACTCCTGCAGCAAGTCTGAAGACTTAACTTGGAAATAAGCCTGTCAGGAATCAATGTAATCTACTTGCCAATCTTTAGGGAGACTGAGGAAATGCAGTTGCTTTTGAAAAGCTTGCAGTTCAGTCCTTGATCTTTCCCACCAGGTGGCACCATTTATACAGCACAGCCTTATTTTAATTGCTGGATCATTAAAGAACACGTGTCTTCAAAATTACTTCAAGATATTAAACAAAATCAAGGGTTTCAAGCCTGGCTTGGGAAAGGAAACTATTTTGGTCACACTGTTGATGAATTGCACTTGGAAAGGAACATGCGGAGCTAGGGCATGCCCTAACATAAGGCAGAGGGAGGCGGGTGCCCCATGTGGCAGATGTTAGGGGTGGGCAGCACCTCCCCACATTTCCCTAGAGTCCCTTAAGGTAGCCTTCCATATTTCTTTGAAGCCTGCTCTCTCCCTGGCCTCCACCATGAAGTAGAGGAAGTGGTCCTCTTACCAGTTCTGAAATAAGATTCAGTTGTCAGTCTAGTTGGATGTTATATGTGGACTTAATGAATGTGTGTATGAATGTGTGTGGTGGCTGGGGCGGGGGCATCTTTTCCTTTGCCTCAAGCGCTGAAATGTTTTCAGCCACCCTTGCTCTGCCGATCTATGGATCTTTCAGGCCATCTTCAGATTCCAACAACCATGGTCAGTTTTTCTGACTATTTCTGGGTTGGGAGTTAGGGACTCCCTCATGTTCCTCTGTATTGCTTTGAAACAAGGAGTGATATATGAAGGGGTTAACTCCGAAAGGAAGGAAGATGTGCATCTTTATGCTTTGCTAGAGAAGAAATACAGCGGAGCTTCCCCACCACAATTTTCCAGTTAACCCCTTCATACTTCAGTCCTCGCATCAAAACAAAGCACTTTAAAAGTTAATCTCACAAACATGTTCCTTCATGGTGGTTCTGTGCTCTTTTGGAGGGTTGGCTGTTTCAGAAGGTGGAGCTTATTTCATTAGCCTAAAGTATTAGGTAATCCCTTGGAGTGAGATTTAGTCAGATTTAGAGCAAATCTCTGAATAAGTCTGGAGGCAAGATATCTTTATGGAACTCTAAAAGTTTGCCCTCAGGAAACTGCATTATAAGGCTGTAGTCCCTCTCTGAGATTCAAAGCTTTCTGTTGCCCTTCTGCAAATACCGTATTTTTTGCTCTATAAGACGCACTTTTTTCCCCCTCAAAAGAAAGGGGAAATGTCTGTGCGTCTTATAGAGCGAATGTGTGTGTGCCTGATGCCCGGGATGCTGCCGGCCCGCCTGCACCACGTGGCACCACCTGGCCGGCACGTGCTTGGTGTGCCCTGCTCTGCCCCCCTCCTCCTGCACAGGTGAGAGCTGTTAATCACAGGTTGGTGTGTGTTTTCAAATGGCAACCAGTCTTTTAATGAAGCCCATGGGGAAGTGATGGGGAATGTGCCTTTGATTATCAGGAAGCTTTCCATGGATCCCTCCTCTAAAAACTAGGTGCGTCTTATGGTCAGGTGTGTCTTATAGAGCGAAAAATATAATTTAGTATTTGCAGCTTCCAGTTTTGATAGGTTAATCACAGGTGCAAACTATCACCAACACTACTAGCTGGGGGGGAGGCTTATGCAGTGGTATAATAGAGCCTCACAAGCTTGACTTGCCCATTAGTAGAGTAGTTGACTTTATCTGCCATCTGTTCCTTCTGATCTTCCAATCTTCCTCAGTAGCTGGAGGGAGAAATGGATTTTCCCAGCAACAATACATTGCCCGTGTTTTAATGCAAAGTATTTTGAGGTGGCTTGGTCCTGAATGGGCAATTGAAACCCATTAGCTTTTACAAAAGCCCTGCTCATATGGGGAAAGAAACTGCTGGAACTGATTAACACAGTTGCTTCCATTTTTTAAAACCTCTCATGGGAAGTCCTAGCTATGTGGACTGTTGTGCTGAGCAGCAGTACAACTTCAAAATGTACAACTGCGCTACTGGTCTGCATTTCATATTTCTGATAAGGACCGACCTTGCACATTCCTGTAATTCTTCATTTAGTCGCATTGCTCATGAAACAGTGCCGGCAGGCTACTGTTTCATGTCCACTGAAACCATGGGGTGAGGTCACGGAAGTGAGTTACTGTGTGGTCAGCATATCTCAGGCACACAACTGTTTCTCCCTTTCTTCTAATCTAGGCGAGGAGCTGCTGCCGTGAATGCTGCCTGTGTTCAGTCACACACAAACTGAAGTTTGATGCACATAAGAGGGGTAAAGTGGGCAACTTGCTGGAGAAAAGTGGATGGGGCTGTGATGATCTGTGTCGCAGTTTTGGAGATCCTCTGGGTGCAGCATCGAGATTTGATTTTCAAACGGCCCTTGCGTCCTCAGGCATCTTTTATCAGCCTCACCTGGTATGTTGGGCCCTCTGCTGGGAGACAGAGATTTCGCAATGGCCAGACTGCTTTACCAGGGAGCCTTCTGTGTGGGATTTTAAGCGAGCTAGTACAAAAAGCTGCTGCTTGCCTTTGGCCAGTTCAGGCTAGTGCACATCTAGGTCACCCATTTAGGACAATGGCATTTGCTGCCGGTTTGTTTGTGGACCAGTTCTAGTGGCTGGTTTTGGCCCTTAAAAACATTAATAGCTTAGATATTCTTAGTGGGCAGAAACCTCTGCCTGCATGAATACACAAACACACATTGCAGACAATGTTGATTTTATGATAAGATTCCCCAAATTCCATCTTAAATTAAGCCAGACTGGCCTCTGGGAGAAGTGGGTTCTTTTCAGTATACTGGAATTTTTTCCCTTGAGAGATTTGTATGGCCATGATGCCCTTCTGGAGAAAGATTAAAACATATCACTTTCAAATTCCTTTTGAGAGATAATCCTGTGCATAGCTGAATGTGGCATGCTGGGAACTGTAGGGCTTTTTTCTCTTTTAACATGCATTTAGGCTAAAACCCTATACTCACTTTACCTGGGATGAGACCTCACTGAATTTAATGGAAAATACTTCTGAACAGACATGCATAGGGTTGTGATGTTGTAATTGTTTTCTGCTGCTGTTATAATATTGTGTGGCTTGTTTTAAAGTAGATTTTTATATATTTGTTTTTAAATTTTCTTTATTGCTTTGGAAATTTTATGAAAAGTAGCTCATACATTTTTGATTTTAGCTGCTTATTATTATTATTTAAAATCCAAATAAAGAATGAATTCCTCTACCTTCTCCTCTCCACTATACCCATTTCCTCCCCTTTAGTCTGGGACTACAGATCTATGCCAAGTCTAGTCAGTGTCCCAGCATTAAATCTGTCCAGACAAAATGCAGATGGGGATGCAGTGACCACAATTCTCTCGATTCTCTCAGGCCATTGGATGCTCATAGGTGTCCCAATTTGGAGGCTTAGGTGCATCTGCAGTGTGGGCAATAGGACTGTACCCTAAATAAATACAAATAAAGGATATAAATGTGCCAAGCATATCTCCTTGCTGGCTGTGCTGATTTTGTGGTGGATCGCTGTACTCTGTATATAATACAAGGAAACCTCTCCAAATTAATTAGAATGTATTTCTTTTAGCAAGTTGGTCTAATATACCTTTTCAAGGGTAGCTTAGAGCAAAATAGAGCTACAGATGGACATCAAATAATTTTGAGAATGTATATATTTTCTGATGATGATAAATCAATTGCAAATACATTCATTAAAATAAAAATACTGTTGGTTGGTAAGTGAAGCCCTGGATTTTTTGTGAGGCCAACCAGCTGAAAATTTGTACTTTTAGGGAAGCATTTTAGGGAAGTGGGACAACAGTGACGTTATACTGAGCTTCTAACATGCAAACTTGTGAGTCTGCTTTAGGACATTTGCATGGAAATTCACGCTTTGTTCTAAAAAATAAGGAAGATTGTACAGAAATGCTGTCACACCCTGCCTTTGGGAAGTAAGATCCTAACTTGGGGAACAACTTTATGTTATAGGCACAGTGACTGACTACAATCCATAAAAACCTCTATAAGACTTCAGGATCTACCCTTCATTGCCATCCCTTAAGGCAGGGCTAGGCAATCCCTGGGAGGCAGGTAGGGTGAGGCTTGTACTGTCCCTATGAACCTGCTAGGAGTTACCATTTCCCTTGCTGTAGAGGAATTGCTAAAGGGGCAACCCCCCCCCCACCCGCAACCACACGTGTGGACAGTGCAAAGTCATTTTTACACAGAGAGTAATGCTCAGAAGTGAGATCCTGCTCCTGATTCTGCTCGTGCTCTCTACACGCTATATTTTCTTGCAGATCACCACTTTGCAGGAAATAGGCAGTGTTGCTGAGGGTGCAAAAATGGCTATAGGGTGGCAGTGCATGTTGCCCACCTTCGCCAAGGTGTTCGTGTGGGGAACCCAGGATCTTCCCAAATGTGTGTTGCGTTATTGCTGGAAATAGCAATCGACTTCTGAATGGAGCAATGGAGCCAAGCATTATATGAGACAGGAGTGCTGCATAGCAATGGAAATAGAAGCATCCATGGTGGAGGGAGGTGCCAGACTAGCAGGCGTGTATAGGACAAGGTTTATGGGTCCTGCCCCTGCCGCTGACTCATAAGATGCCATTGACCCGGTTTGCGCAATCAGTGGTGTGTGCAGCATGTACAGTGCAACTTGCCTAAGGGCTGGATTCAATTTCAGAGAAGCTGGTGGGTAGGGGAGCTGGGGCCAAAGGTGAAAAGGGTGCAGCGAAAATGCAAACGTATTTTAGCTTAAAACTCTGGCTGCCATGAACTCAGTCTCTGGAGACAGATTTGAACCTTTTAGAAAAGCCAGGAAAGCACCTAACAGATACAAAAGTAACTGAATGTTTTCTGCTGTGATGTTTTCTGTCACCAGTCATTGTAAAGAACCAAACTGTGTGTGACGACAGTGACAAGTGATCCCAAATGGAGATGGGCTCACTCTCTATTGTTAGTGTGCAACTACAATAAAGAGTCTTTTGAAAAATAAAATTGCATGCTGGTGTTGCCTGTCTCTCTCACAGTCAACAAACAAGAGGGATTTTTTCTTTTGGTCCTCAACAGTTTGGTGCATTAGTTAGGGTCATGGCCTTCTGGAAACCTTGAGGGGAGGGGGTTCGGATTGGGACCCAGGTCTGAGTCCCTACCCCTTATCTAATTGGGTTTTTATTGACTTGTACCCTGCAGTTTCATTGCTTGCATTTACCTTGCCACATGGTATAAAACTGTTTTCCCTGCTGTTATAGGCACATCAACATTCAGATTACTTATTATTAGTAACATTTATACTAATTAATATAATACGAACTGCTACTGACTTCTCTATAACATATTAAATTTTACTGCTTAAAAAGTACTATTAATAATCGCAACAGTGGGAGGTTTTGGATCATCCAATGCAGAGCAGGAGGAATGGCAGAGTTGATCTTCACTCTCCTGTAGTTTGCATTATATGAGCTTTTCAACTCATGTAGCAAAGGTGTTTCAGCGTGGAGCGTGGTGGGGCAAATGACTGGAGAGGCCTCCAGGTATCCTGGCTTCTGTGCTGTTTTTCCTTCCCTGCCCACCTTCTCTAGGGTCACTTTTCAGACCTTGTGGAGCAGCTGGCAAGTTTCTTTCTGTGCTGGTTGTGAGTGTAAGGTGGAGGGGGTTTGGAGTCCCAGTTACCTCCCCTGAGATCAGAACACCTTCTATGCAGTGGCCTGGGAATCTCAAGTATCCCAAGACCCCTCAGGGGACATGGGCTGCTCTCCAAATAAAGGAAACACTGGGGGGGCGGGGAGAGGAAAAAGTAGCAACATCATGGCTGTCAGTTACTAGTCAAGGATTCCATAGTTAATACTTCCAGTGAAACAGACACATCACAAAACTTTTATTTTTTTTAATGGGCCACCAAAAAAAAAAAAACAAAAAACCAGGCAACTTTTTACTGATCTTCTAGAGCCTATGGCTCAAATCTACAGTTCTCCCAGTCAGGACTGCAGGGTGTGGAAGGCCTAGGAAAGAGATTGAAATAACAACCTGGATAGCAGCAGCAGCAGGAGGAGGAGGAGGAGGAGGAGGACGAATTTGCTTCTTCATAAGAACCCCACAGTGATGTATCAAGGTCATTTATCAAGGTCATCAGGCTTCACATGGAGGTCTTGGCCCACTTGCCCACTTCTCATCCAGAACAGCTTTTATAAGGGGCCCTTGCCTGGGGAGCTGCTATTTTATTGCCATAAATTCTCTGTTCTTCTAGGCATCAGGAAAACTCCCTGAAGATCCCAAAGCCTTATCTCAAAAACAGTTGAAGATAACAGATTACTATGGAGATTAACCTTCCATTTGTATGCATGAGAAATTGTAAAAAGATGATAATAACCTTGACAATAAAAGTGGGAGAGAGGCCAATATTCCTTCTTTATTGCAGAAGGAGAATTTATACTCGTTTTACACTCTTTTAATGAAAAGTAACTTTAGTAATCTTTTCTCCATTCCTATTAATCTTTAACACCGTGAAATGTTCAATATACTGGCTAAGGGTGATTAGGAAAACCCAGCACAATTTCTGCTCTTTTCCTGGACTTGTAACAACTAAAATCACCTCTGCTTACTGATTCCTACTGGGGTTTGCAATTGGAGTCAGGAAAATTGTTTGGCAATGGCTTTCAAACTGTGTTCAGGAAAATTATTGCAAAGGCAAGTAATAGCAGACAATGTTTCCTGAAAGAAAAATTGTTCATCAAAGCCACAGTATTTTGGGGCATGCTTCCAATTCATTTGGAGCATCCTTGTATTCCATAGGCTTGGTGAACATCCTACACAAACTGAGTGCACCTCCTAGACCTCCTGTGACCTCCAAATCTTCCGCAATACACAGGCGTTCTATGACAGATGTGCAGATGTTTCATGAAGAGAGAACATTTTGAAAAACACTGCTATAGAGTGTTCGTACAAGTTCTGCCTGTACATGGAATGCAACTTTCAGGTCTATTTCACACCCTGATTCATGTTCTCAGTGAATGAAGAGTGCATCTTAAGTAGCACGCACAAGTTCAAATAGTGTCGATCACGCTGTTAGACTGGACCTCTCAGTTCAAGATGCAGGTAGTAGAAGTGTTAGGCACTAGCCAAAATGAAGTGCAGATGCACTTTTTCTAAGACTAAGAGCATAAGAACAACTGTGCTGGATAAGCCAAAGTGCTGATCTAGTCTACCATTCCTGTTGCCAAGCAGAAATGCATGGGAAGCCTGCAAGATGCACATGTTGTAAGCAGCTCAGAGAGCCTATGGCTAGTAGGGCAGCTTACAAGACAAATAAATAAAAAATCAACAAGCAGGCAGAGCATCAGTGCAGTAGTGCCTTCCCATATGTGTTCCCAGCAACTGGCATATAGAGGCACACTAGTTCTACTGGTGAGAGCATTCCTAGTCGCCACTGATAGCCTCCTCCTCTATGAGATGGCCTTCTTAAAGGTTTGGCATGTCTCATTTCCCAGTATGACATAGCAGTAGTTTGTACTAAAATGCACGAACATCGGATTTGAATCCAAGTAGCCTATTGAATGTATATCAGCATCTTGATGTTTAGAGCAATTTATTTCATTTAATTTTTATACTGCCCAATAGCTGAAGCTTTCTGGGCACTTCACAGAAATTTTCAAAATACAGTAAGATAAAAATAACATAAGGACAGCATAAAAGCAACAGATTTCTTTTTCAAAATGCAAAATATAAAAACCAATTCAACGGCTAAAACAATTATAGTATAGCCAGACCTGTCACAAGCAGCTGGCACAAATGCCCCATTACATCATCAACCACTGTTGTCCCATAAATGCCAGGAAATGAATGTTGAAATGTGATTTCTACAGGGCAACTCACACATAAAATTGAGGCATCAGAGCCATTATCTGGTTTCCAGCAGTTTTGTGGCTGCCAGATGAGATGAAGACCTTCAAGGTTATTGGCATTATTGCTAGAAAAACAAGACTGCAAGTTCAGCACAAACTGGAAATGACTGTTTGAGTTCATTCACCTCCTTGGTTGGTTCTTGAAAGTGGTACTGTCATCTCAACTAGGAGGTGGGTGCAGGGAAGGAAAGGGAGTCCCTCTTTCACACTTTCTCCCACTAAAAACATTGGAAGGTTAGGGGAGTTTTTTTAAAAGCCCATACACAAAACCTTATGCAATATTTTCTCTTTCAGGATAATATGTGATTTCTTGAATAGCATGTTCAAATGTTAGAGTGATTTGCTTTGCTGCTAGTCCCAAAATGCAGAGGTAATAATCTGAGACGAGTTGACAGCCCTTAAATTTGTTATCCTGGAAATGGATCCACAAACCTTACACCAAACTTGAGACATGGCAACCCCCTGTATGGTGGGGGGAATTGGGAAAGTGCATTTTGTGTTGTGCAGTTCTTAGCAAATACTTTTCTTTTACATAACTGTTATGATCTAGGACCTTGAGAAGGACCATAGCTCAATGGTAGAGTAATATGCTTTGTTTAGGGTTTAAACCCCAGAATTTTTTACATAGGGCAAAAAAAGACTCCTGCTTGAAACCCTGGAGAGCTGCTGATCAGTGTTGACAATACATGCTAGATAGTCCAATGATCTGCCTTCATGTAAGGCACTTTCCAAGTTACTTATGACCTCTCACTTTTTCACACCGGATCATCCTTTACTCTCCATTTTGTTGAAAAATAAATCCAACAAAGAAAAATAGTGCTGTTGCTGGTGGAATGACCTCACTTAGGCCAGGTGCCACTCACTTGGTTCTACTCTACCAGTTGAAGATGGTGTTCTACACTATGGATTACTGATGGCACGTTAGTAGGTTAAATGTGCAGCCATCTCTCCCTCTCTCTCAAACTGCCCCTTTATAGACCAATGCTAATTAATCTTTATCTATAAAGAGACAAAATACAATCATTTCATGACCTGAAAGAAGTGTCAAGTCTTACGAGCCAAGGGGAGAGGACCTAATGTTGTTGCATCAATTCAGCAGAGCGGAGGGACTACTGGTCTGGCCATGCCATGGTCTTCCGTGGAGGCTTTAGGTGGAGTGGAGAGTCCAGTGGGTCTTAGGCAAGGCTTGCTGGGGGAGCAGTGCTACTCGGTGCTTCCTGATCCAGAAGCCTAGCCAGCCACTGCCAATTATCTCCACTCCTGTTTCAGATGCCGAAGGCAAACTCAGTGCTGGAAGACTTTAGGAAAGGGATTAAGAGTAAATGGCAAGAATCATACTGTTACATAGCTCTTTCCAGGAGCCATATCTGGAACACTGTGTAAAGTTATGGTCACTCTCCACTTTGGAAAGGAGGTTTTAGCACTGGACAAGATGTAGAAACAGGCAGCCAAATTTACCACACTGAGGGAAAAAAAATACTATGGATAGGGATGTTATTTATTCATTCATTATATTTTATTACCACCCAATAGTTGAAGCTATTCTTACCATAAACTACAAAACACACAACACAACCAAGTTTAAGATAGGCTTGTAAAATTATGAATGATACAAAACAGAGTATAGCAGGAGCAGGCAGAAAATAGATCTCCAAATGTTGTGGACTTCAGCTCCCAACATTCCTGTCAACTGGCCATGCTGGCAGTGGTTCCTGAGAGCTGAAGTCCAGATCTGTATTCTGCCCAGCCCTAGATTAAAGTAGGGTCCGCCAGATGTTTTGGCATATAGCTCTCTTTATTGCTCACTTTTGGCTATGCTGCCTTGCATTGGCAGAAGTTGTAGGCCAAACAGCAGGGGGTGGGGTGGGGAGGTGAAACCACAAATTACCCATGCCTGGCTTAGAGACACCAGGTCAATAGAATAGTATGACTATAAAGTTCTCTCATCATTCACCAAGATGACAACACAGCAATTATTTTATCCAAAAAAGGTACAATTTCTGTTCTGTAACCATAATGTTGTTATTGATAAAAAACCACTGCTACGTTGAACATACTTGGGAAAGCCTTTCTAAAAAGCACTCCCTAGAAAACTTATGAACCTTTTTGGAAGGGTCAATAACACCAGTGTTAGTGATTCATGCAAAACTGCACCCCTGTTGTAAAAAGATAATACAGAGCTATTTCCTTGTTTGATGGTACGATGGAGGATGTGTATGGTGTCATGTGTTTAGGGTGGATAATTTAAGCTGAGAAAGCTATATAAAGCAGAAGCATTAAGGTTCCTGAGGCAGGTCAGCTCCAGTCTTCAGAGCCACAGCAATTCTCCACTGAAAGTCTTCTCTCTGTACCACAGAAGACAGCATGAGCTTCTCTGGAAAATATGAAGTGGAAAGTGATGAAAACTATGATAATTTTGTGAAGCGCATTGGTACGTATTCACTAGATGCTTCTCTTTACTCACTTAGGTCATTACTTGGACAGATAAAAGAATGCTGCTTTCCTGTTGCTTTCAAGGCTTGGGGTACCATTAACTGAGATCTGTTAGTGCAAGCTTTCAAGGTTCCAAGGTTTCAAGATGCCTTAGCAGACAGAATGTCCCTCCATGCCACGAAGATGACAGAATTTTGTTGTAACTCAAACGCTTGCATTCTTTTCTATTGCTGTCTATTCTTTATTCAATAAGATAGCAAAATGATATTGCTTCCACTTGTGCATATATAAGATACCAAAGGTGAATGTCTATGAATTTTCAGAATTATTCACAAATTATAAATAATTGGGAATTTATAATTTGCAATCCTGCAATATCCAATTTGTCCCCACCCAAAAGAACAAATGAAATAAATAAATGAACAAAATGCGATAAAATCTTTTTTTAGAGACATCTAGAGACTAACATTACATTAAAATTTGTATTCAGAGTTCATTTATTGTGAATGCTGAAGCTAAGGGGGGGGGGAGTTCTGTTTTCACTAGAACATTCTATGGCTGAGGTTGCCAGCTTGGTGCCATCCATCCTTCCTGAACCTTATGATTTCTTCTTTTCTATAAAGGCTTGCTTTTATTTTTAATTTTTAGAAACAAAGTGAGGTAGAAGGGTCCTCCTGAGCCATCTAGTCTGACCCTCGGCTCCAGCCAGCTCTGCTCATGTATTCTCCAACTTGTGGTTGTCCAATCTTTCCTTGAATACCCTCACTGATGGGGCTTCAACCACCTCCCTTGGAAGTCCATCCCATATCCTTGGGGTCCTATCTGTCAGGAATACTTCCTGACATTCAACCTGAAGCCTGGTTCCTTGAGCTTTGCCCCATTGGAGTGCATCCTGCCCTCCACTGCAGGGAAGAACAGGTCATGGCCCTCCTCCACAAGACATCCCCTCACATACTAAGTTGCTAAAAGATCCCCTTGGAGTCTCCTCTTCTCCAGGCTGCAAAGAACCAGTTCCCCGATCTCTACTCAACCTGGCTACCATTCTTGTGACCCTGTACTGGACCATTTCTAACCTAGCTTTGTCTCTCCTCTAATGTGGAGCCCAGAACTGGACACAACACTTCAGTTGTGGTGCACCAGAGTTTTGTAGAATGGAATCAACACCTCCCTAGATGTGGAAGCCACACTTCTAGCTATACATCCAAGGGTGGCGTTCACCCTCTTGACTGCCGCATCACACTGCTGGCTCATGTTTAGCCTGCAGTCCAGCAGCACCCTGAGATCCCTTTCACGTGTGCTGCTTTCCACCCACTTGTCCCCCATCCTGTACCTGTGACACCTATTTCTGTGTCCCAAGTGCAAGACCTTGCACTTATCCACATTGAATGCCATCCTGTTGTCCTCTGCCCACTTCCACAGCCTGTCCAGATCCTTCTGGATCTGGATCACCTGCTCCTCAGCTGTGGCCACTGCCCCCACTTTGGTATCATCTGCAAATTTAGTCAGCAACTAGTGTAATTAGTAAATTAGTAATTTTTGTTGCTAGATGTCTAGCATGTTGCAAAGCCACTTGCTGGCCATGACTACCATTTTATTTCCAAGAATGCCTATCAGTCCCGCTTAGGTCCCTGAGGCATCCTTCAGAAATAAACATTGTGGATGACTGGCTCATTCTATGCTTCATTCTCAGTGGTTCATTCTGAGGCAGACCCAGCCACCCAGAAAAAAAGAAAAGGGAAGTGGAAGGGGATGTGGAGTATCCTGGGGGTTAAAATCAAGGCAATGCGAAGCATCCTGGAGGCAGAGGAAGAGGGAGATTTTGCCTGTGTTGTGTGAATGTTTCCCCTGTTTTTTCATGAGTTCTGATGTGTGCTAGCTGGCTTGTTTGCTTGTGGTATGTATGTCTGGGCATCACTAGCTTACCTTTTGTGAAATGGGTGTTTTGTTTTGGGGACAAATATGTGATTTCCCATTTGGGACTCAGTCTCCCCCACTATCCTCTGCTTTGTTTTTTGGCCAAGCTACTTGTCTCTGGGTCACGTCTTCTGTGAAGTGGATGTTTGAGGAAAAGAATGTGGGTTCACAAGAGCGGTTTTGTAATTTGGCACTCAGATCATACCTCTGTCTTGTATTTAGGTTCATGAGCACGTTACTTTTCTTTTGGACTCACCACTTTTCCTTTGGGATGTGGTTGTTTGTTACCGGCCATGCCCTCCACGGCAGCCACTTGAGAGCGGGCAAGCCCTCCCCCACAGCAGCCATTTTGGAAAAGATAAAACACTGACGAAAAACAAATATGTATTTCCACTGTTCTAGGTCTCTCTCCTGACTTGATTGAAAAGGGAAAAAATGCCAAGATCATTACTGAAGTAATTCATAATGGAGATGAATTCACCTGGTCCCAGATTTACCCAGGAGGGACGACTACTACTAATAAATTTGTTATTGGCAAGGAATCAGAAATGGAGACAATGGTCGGCAAAAAATTTAAGGTAAATGAATGGATGAATGTATCACCTGCATTGAAAAATGTTGTACTGAGATTCAAAGAGCTCACTCTTATTTTTAAGAACAGGACTGTCACGGACAGGGCATTTTGGGGGGCTTTCATTCCTAGGGTTGCCATAAGTCGGAGACAACTTAATAGCATATAACAACAAAAACAAAGCTTGCCATGCAAACATGGATGGGAAGGCAAATCTTACTCTCCAAACACAAGCACAAATGGCATTACTTTGAAATTGTAGCGCATGTAGTGATTGTCTCCTTTTAAAAAGTTAGCAAATATTTGAAAGGCCATCCCTCCTCCACACACCTTGTCACCATGATGACACTCATCACTTTGTGATAGGTCTAGCTGTGACCGTAATAAAGTAGGTCCTTGATTCAGTAAAGTGGAGACTATCAGGTTTCCAAGGAAAGTCCTTCTCAAAGAGAGCCTGAACGCCAGATCTGGTTTTAAATACTATGCATGTAACATTTATTCTATGATATAAAGAATACAGAAGTATAAGAATACAAGTTCAGCAATCATCAGCAACAATATCAAGAGGCCTCATTCACACTCGCATTCATGCAACACTCATACTCACAGCCAATAGACCCTCTCGGGATCCATCAGGACTGTGGGTGACCCGTTGCAGCGCTATTCTGGCACACACGGGAGCTGGAAAGCCCAGTCATTTTATACCTTAAAGTTGACTCTATCAGCTTAGTCCAACTGGATCGAACAGTGAACTCCTCTGAGCAGGGCTGACCCAGAACATGCAGGTCTTTATCTTGAACACACTCACTCATCTCATTCCATTCTCTCTCTGGATGGTACAGCATGGACTTACCTGTTACGTTCCATTCTCCAACCACTCCCGGCCTCTAGGTTTTCTCAGTCTGGTCAGTCCCATCATGCTTTTTCATTCTTAATTTTCTTCTGGGTCTTAGGCCTTCAGGAACCCATGCACACTGTAACACAGTGGCAAAATCCAGTCAAAGCCAAGCACTTTTAAAGACCCTGTGGATTACTATGGCATAGAATAACTATGTGTTTAACTTTCCTATCAAAACATAAGCCCTAATTTTGTCTGGATCTTGCCTTAATTTTATTTACTACCTTGCAAATTATGAATGTTGCCTTTGCAGGGCTGGACCAAATAATATCCCACCCCTTTCCAAGCAACCTGTTAATTTTTTTTTTAGTCTGAGGGCTGAATTTCATTTCAGAGAAGCTCTCAGGTGCCACGTTCCAGTGGTGGAGGGGGCAAAAGCAAAAGCAGCAAGATCAGCATATCAAAAGTACCAACATAAGAAAATAATCTTTCAGAATGGAGAAAGATACTGTGAAATCTAGAAATCCACTGCACAAGTAATAGGGGGAAGGAGGTGAGTTAGGGCAAAAGAGGTGAAGTTGGAGAAAAAGGTGTAGTCACCTGGGGAGACGGGTGGTGGTGGTGGTTAGGTTTGGTCCCCAAGTGGGCTTCCTGAGGTACTATACCATTAAAGAATGTTCTGGAGAATATTTGGGATGGTCATACATAGCCTAAAATAACAGTCACAGTTTGCCTGGATAAGATTCAAATCTCTTCCTAATTTCTACTAAGCTTTCCCCCCCTAGTTCTTTCTGATTTTGTAATGTGCAAGCTCAAGTATTTGCATACTCAGCGAGGGCTGGCCTGGCACAATCCTACTTCATCTAAATGTTCTCCCTAATTGGCTTGAGCCAGTATGACAACTAACATATGCTGATCTCATTTCAGGCAACAGTTAAAATGGAAGGTGGAAAAGTGGTTGCTGACTTCCCTAATTATCATCACACTGCAGAGATTGCTGGGGGCAAACTAGTTGAGGTAATTTCCTGAAAACTTTGCTTGGGAAGTGGAATGTATAATGCTAAAATTGCTTGTTCAAAGAGTGTCCATAAACTTAAGTCATAGCTCCTGTATCTCCTTGAACTCACGGGTCAAATTCAATTTCAGCAAGCTGTTGGAGGCTATATTCCAGTCATGGGCAGGCCTAAGGAAAAATGATTGGGGCCTATTTTAACTTAAAGCTCTTCTTCAGCCTTAGAAGAGGCAGTTCAGCTTTAGAATGGGGGAAGAGCCCCAACAAAGTTTGGAAGCTACCAAATGCTTGAAAATTAGAGTAAGGACTGGGACAAGGACAAGGGCGTGTGGCCTTTTTATGACCCTTCCTGGATTTAGTCAGTAGGCCTCAGGCTTGACATCACTGTATTAACATGACTCAATAGTAAAAGGTGTGGAGGGCAATAGTTTTAACAGCTACCATTATGAAATGGCAATACCAGTAGGTTGCTTGGTCCCCTGGAAATCTGAACAACATCCCAAACCTCTTGATCTCTATGGGGACCATCTCCACTCTTGACTCCAGCCTTGGTATACAGGACAACCCAGGGGCAAGAGCAGGATGCCGTGATTTCCAGCAACCCAATTCTATCAAAACATTCTTTACTGTTTGTGACCAAATCTCAAGAGCCCTCATAAATTCTTAACTCAGAGATTTAGCAGTCTTTGCATTATTACCAGGTGAACTGGGAACTTGAGAATCAAGACACTTCCATGTAGTTTAAATATGGAAACTTATGTGAAGTGGGTTGGAACAGTGTGCAGCTACCAGGTTAAAACTGGTTATTTTGGAGCAGGCTGGAAGAAGATGTGTTCCAGGCCACCCCCACCTCTTTAAAGGCATAGTAACTTCTGTGCCATTCTCAATTGTAAAGAAGCGGGAGGGAGAATTCAGCTGCACAAGGCATTCCAGAATGAAAAGGTGGTCAGTGGCTATATGTTTGATTCCAGCTGCCAGGTTCAGTATGTTTGCCTTATTTTTGCTGCAGATTTCTACATGTGGTGATGTAACTTACAAGAGAATCAGCAAGAGGGTATGAGAAGCAGCTCGAGAAACAGTAACTGATCCCAGTCCTTTAGTCATACTGGAAAATGAGCAATAAAAACAAAATATTATGTAACAGACTAAGAAGTTTGTCTAATTCTGTATTTCTTTTGCAAAAAAGTAAGAAAATATTTATTTTTCCTACGTTTCCCATCTTCAACCATTCCAATTTCTTCAGTATTTGACCTTGCTGGAAATTGGCCAAATTGCGATGGTGAAGAACACAATATAGGACATTGGTCCTTGGCAAACTCAGAGTGAAGAAGCTTTAAAACTGCTTCACATTATTAATGAGTACATGATAGAAAGTGTGAGTGTACTATGTTTTTTTTCTTTTTGCCATCACCCTACATGTTCGTATTGTAGAGCTGAATGCAGCTGCACACATATATTGATAAAAAAATAAACCCACACTGCTCTTACTTGTTACACAAGACATGCCTCTAACTGCGTATATGAAGTTGCTATCCAAAGGGAGTCATTTATTTACAGCTTAATAGTAATTACTACAGGTTTCAGCTTTCGTAGACCACGCCTCGCTTGCCACAATGGAGCACGTTCTTTAGGCATGAGGTAGTGCCGACCTACACCAGATTGCACAATGTGCACCAGTTGGCCCTGGATGTTGCTTTTGTGCAGCTGAGCTGACACAAAGGGAAGAAGTATGAACGGCAAAATAGTTTTGGCTTGAAATTACCACGAGAGAATAATAAGGGAGGATAGTTTAGGCAGAAGCCAAATGAAATGTTGGAATCCTATACAATGATCTGCTACACTCTCTAAGTTCTACTGTACTATTTTCCAAGCTGTTGGACATTGTTATGAGTTACTGTACACCAGATTGCAACGCATTGACTTCCCCAGTGCCAAGAACACAATAGCATGTGATGTGTTGTGTGATCCAGACCTCCAAGCAGAACAGAGTGTCTCTCGCCCTCCATGAGAGAGAGAGAGAGAGAGAGAGAGAGAGAGAGAGAGAGAGAGAGAGAGAGAGACTCTTGTCAGCCAGCTGGTGTTCCAACCAAGAGCCCAAGATGTGTAAATTCTCCCTAGCTCCTGCTAGCTAACGGATGGCAGTGCCGTCACACTTCCCTCTGAAATCAGGGTTTGAATTCTGTTCCAAGGATCTGAGCAGAAGTATTTGCTCCATTGCATTTGACTGAGCCACTCTTACCCTTTCCTTGCATTTACTCCTCCACTGGAGAGGACACAAATTCACCAGGAAAAGAAATTAACACTTTTCTTTGGCTCTTGCTGTCTAGACACAGTCCAGCAAAAGCTTCCCAAGGAGCACAATATAAAAAAAAAACCAGTCTGCATTTGAACAGCACAGAGACTAATTTAGCCAAATTTAAAAAGCTATCTGGTACAAGAACATTTTGAATCATGAACACTTGTTTTCAATGTCGAATATATTTGTCTAACTACCCCCTTCTACCATCTGCTTTTGTATCATACTTCTTGTCTAGACAAAACCAAAAACTGAGGCTCAAGACTGCTATATTTAATTTAGATTATTAATTTGTGTTTCCAGTATGAGGCAGCTGAGGACAAAACATTGTTTCTTCTCCTAGTTTGGGGGAAATAGATCAAGTTACAGTACTTTATGGCTTCAAAATTAATAATGTAAGCAAACAAATTCTGGAATTTAGCTAGCATTTGCTTGGAAGGCCCAACTCAGAAAAGGCTAGCAGGTCTATTCCTTCAAAAAGGCTTGTTCCATCTTTTTACATCAAAGATCAGTTCTAGTGATATTCATGACATGTTTCAGCCTATGCATTTAGATCAAAATTTCTGCCTTTTTTTTAAAAAAATGCAATAGTAGGGTTGCATGTGTCAAAAACAGACTTCAGCTCAAGATGTGTCTGGGTGTGGCTGTTTTCTACAAGTCCAAAAATGGTAATTTCTGAATCAGTCTAAGAGCCACCTCCTTTATATTTGCACGACAGAGTGCTCAAATGATGAATGTGGCTTATAACAGGACATATGCAGCAGCTGAAGCCTGTGAACTGTGTTAAGTTACGCAGGTTGCAGACAGGTGCATACATCTGTTTATTCCACTTTGATAGGCACATGAAGATCAAAGGCCTACATTGCACATGGAAACTTCAGCTTTTGATCCCTGTAAAAATTGCAGAGACTCTAATTTGTGAGTTACTGTGTATTAGGGCACCCCTTCAATCCTATCTCTGCAGGTTTAAGGGTGAATGCCAGTCATATTTAAAAAAGGGAAAGCTGAGTTTCTCAATTTGCTGAATTGCATGTTCAAATTCTAATCTATAGCTGTACCATCAGAAACCACAAAGTGTGAATTCCTTTGCTCCAGTCTTTTGTATGGCCCATGCCCAATTTACTGGGGATAGGCAGAAAGAGTTACAAATGTTTTGGACTTCATCTCCAAACATTCCTGGCCACTGGTTGTGGTGGCAGGGTGTTCTGAGATATGAAGTGCAAAGTATCTGTATCTAGATTCAGATCTGTACATACATGCAAATATGCTGAATTTGTCACACTTTTGGTTCATCATGAGAAGGCAAGACTCACTGGAAGAAAACAATAATGCTAGAGGGATTTGAAGAAGAGGAAGACTGTGAGATGGATCTGTTCCGTGAATGAACACACAGCCTTGAATTTCCAAGACCTGAGCAGGGCTGTCAAGGACAAGCAATTTTGGAGGGGACTTACTCATAGGGCTGGCTTAAGAGATGATTTGATAGGATGCAACAAAATGTTTTGACATAAAACACAACAGACTTCTATCCAGTCTGCCTACCTCATTCAAATATGTCCCTAAATTTGAGTATCCATGCCACTTTTGGTTTCTATGCAGGATGTAAGCAGACTTCGAGGCAGTAACTCCTTGAAGAGGGTTCACAACTCATATACACGTCTGAATGAATCAACATTCATGCTTACACCATAATTTACAGAACTCTCTCTTACAAACTTAGCCAGTTTTTCCTGAAATTTGGTTTCATCCTTTTATCCATGTCCCATCCAGTTGAATTCTGTTGTCATTGTGGCCACTCCAGGATAATGTTTTGTGTAAGCTGCACCTCTACAGCACCACGGAAATAAAGTCAGCCCTACCAGTGAAAAATATTTGTTTGCAAAGTCTGTGAAGAACCATAATGATTGCTGATGGAAACTGAGTCCTTGATTAAAGGGCACATTTGCAAGCATGAATAAAAGCCAGTAAACAAACTTGTTTTTGAGCACACAGAAAGTAGACAAAATGAGTGTTTTTCACTGTTTATTGAATAACCTTCCTTAAGATGAAGTGTGACTTCAGAATGTCAAGATGAAAAAACTTCATAACATGCTGGATTCTATAGTCAAAGGTTTCACAGTAGTATGTTACACAATCAGGTGGTTAAAAAGTCTGTTAAAACGCACACAAAACCTTATACATATCAAGTTATATATAAATACAAGAAAGTGTAAAAGGTAACTCCAGATTTTTTTTTACAACCCTGAAAACAACCTTCCCCTACTCCTGTTTTGCTACATATACTGTTATCTTAAAGTGTGATGAACTCAGACTTTTTCGACCTGGTGCCTTCCAAATGTGTTGGGACTACAACTCCTATTTTTCCTGGCCAGCACAGTCAGTACATCTGAGGACACTCTGCTGGGGAAAACAGCTTTAGAGACACCACCAGTCCCCAGTCTACAGGCTTCCTCTGGAAAGGGAGTTGCCAGCCCAACACTCCTTCTAAAAATTCTTTAAAAGTATAACTTAAAGTAAAAATGACCAATATTCTACCTTTGTTCTCACAGACGGGACACTAGACAGAATAAAAGTATATTGCACATAATCTGTACTGCAATCCTGAGAAACTTTTTCACAAACACTGGCCTTTAGAGATTACAGGACAAAAACTGAATATGAAGTGGGCATTTCACAGTTAAACAAAAGCCTTCAAAAGATCTTGGACCTAGCCTCCTGTGTGAAGCTTAAATCGCACTCAGCTCTTAAGGCCATGATCCTAAAGTACACTTATGCAGTGCTAAACTCCACCAAACTCATAGAATTTAAAGTGAAACTGCAGGTTAGCTTGGCAAACTGTTTCCAAATCTGTACATGCAAAGCAGAACCAGTAGCTGGATGGGGTGCTTTTATCCATGGATTCTTCCTTGCAAATACCCCCCTGTACACACAAAAATAGTTTCTCCATCAACCACCCCCATTTCAAATTCTGCAGCCCAGTTAAGAGGGGAAAGTGTAAGTGACCTGGGGAAGGGTTTGTGAAAGCGCGTGCAGGTATGGGGGAGGGCAAGGGTGAGCACTCCTCCTGCCCAGCTTTGCTTTCCCCATTATGTGTGGTTCTCTCCAAAATGCCGTATTTCATATGCAAACATTAGCTTTGGATAAAACAAAAGCAGAAACTCTCTTAAGTGACAAGGACATTTAAAAACATGTCAATCCATCTCTTTGTATGATGATTCTTAACCTACAGCTTCAAGTTACTTTAACTTCATAGACCAGGAGTAACTAAATTTTGGCCCTCCAGATATTTTGGCCTACAAATTCCATGATCCTTCACCATTGCAGATGTTGTCTAGGGCTGATGGGAGCTATGGGCCAAAATATCTGGAGGGCCACAGGTTGTTCACCCCATCATGGACTGTAATGCATAGCGATCTGCAAGATCACTTCAGAGTTGATGGTTCAAAGACTTAAAGTATGATTGGTTCTGGTATCACTTTAGTCTTCCTTACCCATGATCTTTAAAAAGTTCCTTTTCTTTTAAAACTATCCCTTCCAGGTACATTTTAATCCATCTTTAGTGTTACTAACTCAAGCAAGACCTATCATACTACATTAAAACGCAGCAATTCTCAAATATTAAGGGTATTTTCAAGTAAACATTAATCCCTGATATAACTTGTAAACTATGTTTTCCCAACAAACAATAATTAGTTGTTTAAGGCAGCAGCATCTTAAATATTTAGAGGTAATTTAAGATTGCATTTTGAGAAACATACTACAAACATGAGGCCCAATGGGGTTTTGTCTACCAATACTTCATCAAATATCAAGAGATTTTAAGGCAAAAGTGGTTGATAACTCTGTACATATCTTCCCAGTTCAATGTCTTATTCTGTTAATATCTTGGTGAAAGCAAGGCAAAGAACATTCTTCATAAAATATTCCAGAGATAGTTTGAGTGGTATCAGGAGAAAGCAAGAATTGCTAATGTCAGCAAAAGTTTCCAGTGTTGAGAACTCAATTATAAACTCACAGGGGAGGCATCTTATAACAAGAATATCTAATGGCAGATGTTTCTGCAGATTTGTCTTTCAATAGCATTTTATGGAGGAATCTGATGAAGGAAGCATACCCACATCATTTCATTAGGTCTGCAAAAGTAGCATCTTCAATTTGAAATACATTTTATGCCTTTTTCTTTTCCATGTCCTGACACTGTAAAGCAAGATTCCCAGATGGACAGGTTCTGCCTAAGCTAGTTCCAAACACCCCTTCAGAGTCCCTTGTTACCAAGGCAAGGACAACTCAGTTTAGTTATCACCAAGACTTTGCTGTCAATTATGTACTGCCCTCTCTTCTCCGAGACTCATCCTTTGAAGCATCCTGTAGTGTATGAATGATGCTCGCTGAAATAGCTACTGCCATAGGTCAGGGAGAGGCAGTGCCTTGGCTCTGTTGAGAAGGCTACCTGCATAGTGATAGGCCCTTGAAGGGTTTGCAGAACAGGCTGAAAGCTGGCTTGCAAGGTGGAATATGAATGCAACGAACTGCTACTCCCAGAGACAAGGCTGCTCGATTGAGGAGCTTGTAAAGAGTCCCGGTAAGCTGAGCACAGATCCTGTATTGGAGAGTAGAACTGTGAAAGAACGGAGTGCTGGGCCAGGGGATGATACTGCGACTGCTGAAAGAGAACTTGAGTCGGGGTCTGGAAGGACAGCCTTTCCACGAGTTGTTGCTCCCGCCGCAGCCGTGCTGCATGACTTTTGTCCTTTTCAGCGTCTTTGACATTCTTATCATGAACTCTATTGGAGAAAATACGTTGAAAAAAATCAACAGTAAGAGGTCTTGTAACCTAACACCACAGAATTCTGTGATGTAGCATTCACAGAATCATTTAACTCAGCCCTGACTCCTATTCACAAGATGGGAGTAGCTTCTATAGACTGGTTTAGGCTACATTTATTTTTACAGAGATGGGGAATTTCCAGATGCTGTGTCAAAGAAGCAGGCCTTAGTGCTGGGTTGACAGATTGGAACATTTCAAGGATGATACTTTGCATTATACAGAATATGATCAGGTGGCTTGATTTGCTTCAAAACTTACATAAGCATGAGATCAATGCATGGAGCGAGCTGCTCCCAGGAATAACGTGTCAGCAGCTGGAGCTGTGTGGTCCAAGGAGGAGAGATTTCAAGACAGATGCGAGAGGCGCCCACACAAGCAGCAGCAACAAGAGAAGGCCGGAAGGAGCGAAACACATGATCTGAAAGAAACAAAACACAAGTTAGGATCCAAGGACTTCCAATCCAGAAGCCACAATTCTTGGCTAGCATCCCATAGATGTGGTTGGACACCAACTTTTTATCTGTTTATCTGATGTTCTATCAGAGTGCAAATGAACACTGGACAGTATTTCATGCAAGCAACAACAGTAGATTTATTGTAGTCTCTTGCTGAGATGTCAGCTTTATAAGCAATAATGTTGGCTTGGAAGGCTGCTCTTAAACAGACATTTAATGCGCTATTGCCTTCAGATCCCAGACTTGGGACTGTTTAAGGCTACAGGCATAAGCATGCTTACAAGAAAAGTAAATCCCATTAGCCTTAAGGGGATTTGCCTTCAAACGAACATACTTTAGGAGCAAAACTTCACATGCATTGGTTTTTACATCCTGTAACAGTTCGAGGTTGAACTGAGGATTTGCCTTTTTCTTAGAATCACTGAAGTGTTGAGCTGAAAGGATCACTGAGTCCAACCCCCTGTTAATGCAGGACTCCAAGTTAAGGCATCCCTTACAGATGACTGTTCAACTGCCTCTGGGAAGCCTCCAGTGTGGGAGAGCCCACGACCTCTCTAGCTCTTTTGCCATACTGCATTAACAGTCAGAAAGTTTTTCATAATGGCTAGTCAGAATCTGTTGTTTGTGTTTCTCACCATCCTCAGCAATGGCTTATCAGACCAATGACTGTTAACTCAGGTTGGATTAAAAAAAAAAAAAAAAAAAAAACAGAATCAAGTGGCAGCATAGATCAGCCTGCAGATTTGATTGATGTGCCATTTCTACAGGGGGGCAAACTTTCTAGGGCAAAAATATAAAACCCTCAGGACTGGGGTGGAAGCAGGCCCTACTGGGCTCTTCCCAGATGGCTCCCTGCTTTTCCCCAACCACTGAATGTGTGGTGGTTCTCTGAGTTTTGTGCCAGTTCCTCTCCCATTCTAAAAGGTTGAAATGGCTCTCCTAAGACTGAGTTACTGGCAGTCAGAGCTTTAAGCACAAATATGCTGGTCCTGTTTGGCCCCATCCCTTTTGCCTTTGGATCTGTCCACAGCAGCAGTTTGGCCCGTGAAAAAGAATCCAGTTCTCTGGCTGCAAGGAGTTCTGCACCCTTGCTCTAGCCGCATTTTCACAAGACACATTCCTCTACCACCACCCTGTTCCCACAGCCTGCTCTCAGACTCTGAGACTACCGCAAAGCTGAGCTGCCTTGGAGTGAAACAACTCTTGCCTTCCCCTGACATCTGGATCAAGACATCACCTTGCAGTGAGACTTCTAGGAAATAGTGAGTGTATTTCTCCACGAAAGCTCTGACTTTGGCCAAGGATATGATGGGCCAGCCATTGTGTAGGTCGCTCTCACTAACAGAGGCAAAGAGGTAGTAATCAATGTAGTGTGCTGGGGTTGGCAGGCACAGATTCCAGTTGAAACATTCCAGGAGCAACAGTTCCATCTTCAGCAGGTCTTTCTTTGTTATCACCAAGTTAAGGTTGCACATGCAAGCAAAGCTGTTCAGCTGTTCGAGTTTTGGCACTCTGTCTTCCTTCTCTTCAAATTTGCCTATCAAGAGAGAACAAACCATTATTTCCACCCAGGTTTACTCTGCTGTTCTGGAATCAGCTAGAAACTGGTGCTGAAATAGAATTCAAAGGTTTAACAGTAAGAGATGGTTTCTGCTGGGTTTTTGTACCATGGTAAAAGACCTGTCCTTGTAGCAGGTTTGGACAGCACATGCAGATAGAATGAATACTACGTACATGAAATAGCTAAGAGTGGATCCTGCCCAAGAATTAACTTTGCCAGGTTAATTTCTCTGTGATTTTTACAAATTACTATTACAATCATAACATTGCCTTTAAAGGCTCGGAAGGGTTGGACCCAATATTATCCATTAGGATTTTCTCCCTCACATGAAACTATATTTATTAGGCCATCATCAGCCTGATAGAGAGACACACCTGTGCTTTCCCAAACTGACATAAAACTCCACTGCTAAAAGCATCCTAGAGCCAAGGATGTAGATGATCAGGCAAGTATATGGAAAAGCCATTTCAAGAACTAGCTATCATTAACTTCTGCTCGGAGCCAAAATATTTGCATGACAAGGAACCTAGGTTTCAAAATATTACAGGAGCCATTTTTTTCGTAAGTGCATCCACTATGTGTAGTGCAGCATTCAATTACCTGCACAATTAATTTCTATACTGCCCAATAGCCAAAACTCTCAGATTACAGACCTTTAAAATGTCACAGCAGGGTATAAGATGACTCAACAGAAAACTACTTCCATGGCACTAGAGTAATATTTAAAGGTGCCACATCAAACCTACACACTCAGTAGCAAATATTCTGATTTTACCATAATCAGGTTGTACTTTAAGAATCTTCTCTGTACAAGCTAAAGCTGAGCACAACAGCCTAGGAAATCCCAGCATTGGGTACTCTGCATCAAAAGCAACATTTGACTCAATGTGCACAATGTGCAGTTTCCACTGGCTTCCTCAGTGCGTTCAATAGGCCAACTTAGCACCCTCTTGATTTTTGGCCTATAACTTCCATCATCCCCAGCTAGCATAGCCAATGGACTGGAATCCTGGAAATTATCCCAAATGATCCTCCTTACCAAGTTGGGAGTAGGCTGCGGTAGGTAAGCTGTGCCCTCAACGAACAGTCTTGGGAACGGGAGGAGGGAGAACCCGCCTCAAAACCTCAGTGGGCTAATCAGGACAGAGCAGCAACAGAGTAAGGAAGGAAAATTTGCTTGTGGGGGCTGCCGGGCCGGATGGTGAGAGCGGAGGATGGAGCTGGGAGTGCAGCAACCACATTGCCCAGGAAACCACATGATCATCGTCAGCAAGTTCAGGCAAAAAATCCATGTGCCACAGAAACCACAGAGGGTTATTTGTTCTGATGTGTGAACCCAGTTGGTGCTTGCATTTTGGAAATTTGGGAAGTGGTAACATCGTGAATATGCAATTTAAACACCCACAGTTGCACTTCTGATACATTAAGAGGCAAGTTTACATACTCGCAAGGAGAAGGCAAGCAACTGAGATGACATAGAGCTGCCTGAGAGCCACGTCGTAGCTGTCCATGAAGAGGTCCAGCAGGTAGACAGCCAGATGCCGGGCTGTGGGGCAGAGTCGACAGCGGTTGCTCAGCACTGCCAAGAGGTCAGCGAAATAGTGCCGCATCCCGATCTGAGGTGAATGGGCCTTGTATAGGGGCAGTTTCAGCTCCTGTGGCAAGAGACACGGACAGGGAAAGAAAGGGTTACTAAAACAACTATCCAATTCAATAGCCAGAAGACCATCTCTTCTGGCAATAGCAAGGGACTTGGCTCTTATGGACAATCCAGCATGGGTGGAGAGATGACTAAATAGGCTCCCGGCATTCATGTTCTGCAGATCAAGTGGTTTTGTGCGTATGCATGTGTGTGTGCATTTGCAAAAGTGCAACATAAGAAAAAGAAAAGTTATATGCTGTTGTGTTCCATATCAATGCTGGCACTCTTTACTCAGATTAAGAACAAACGTCATTAATGGAATCAGTATTTTTTTTAAAAAAAGGAACTGGATAGTCTAGCAACCTCATTATCTACAACCCTTGCATCACCTACGATTCATGTGTGGTTGTCAGAACACACGGATTATTTTGGGATGGATAGGGAGGAGGAGGAGGCCAGGCTCCCATGTATCACTTACTCTGTGACCTGCGGGGCTTTGGTTTTATTTTTCAAGTTACACCTGGGCTTTGTGATAGCTGATGACCATGGCAAAATTAAGAGTTGAAAGCAGTCCATTTTAAAATACTTTGTACATAGACATTTTACCATCAGCATCACACACATCCATTTTCAAGTTCATGTGAGAATACTTTATCCAAGCATTAATAACAGAAGTTTACTCCAACGTGATTGCTTAGCCTGGTGACCCCCAGGCTTTTGCAGACAACCAGATTCCTCTGCCAAAAAAGGGTAAAGCCCACCTTGGCCGCAAGCCATTGAGATAAAAGGGACCCTGGTGCGGGGAAGACCTCTCCAGCTGATTTAGATTCAGTGCTGGATGCTCAAGGGCCAAATTAGATACTAAGGGAGAGAATACAACCTAGCGTGCCTAGATGCTCCAGTGCAGAGCAGTTGTGGTCATTCCTCAAGCAACAGTGGGGCCAAGGTGCAGAGAGAGGGAGGGGGTTTTAGCTTCCTCTGCACTGGGATCCTGAGGAAAAGTGTGCTCCCAAAGCTGCTGTTAGCCTGCGAGGGACTTTCCACTCACTTGAGTAGCCCCTTCTGGGGCTTACAGCTTAGGGACACTTGTCTGAATGAGACATTGCTGGCTCAAAGAACCGGCAACAATTCTTTTTTGATGAACTTTGTGGAAGTTTGCTGTTTTTTAAAAAATAAAATGCATACATGAGCGTATGACCCTGTCTCAGAATCTAAAACTGAAGCTCACCTACAGATCTGCTATATTAAAAAGGTTAGGATAGTTTGTGAATCAGGGAGAAACCAGTTAGGTCATAAAGGACCTCTCAACAACAGCAAGCCAAAGCCTCTTTATTAAAGACCGGCAATGTAAATATTTATGCAATGGTGAAGAGGACCAATTTCCTCAAACAAACACACTTAACTATCTCTTTGGGCACCAGACCCATTCACAAACTAACATCACAATTAGACGGCACCATCAAGTCTTGTTTCAAGAGGGAAATGCATTTCATTTGACCTCAGCAGACTCCTCATGGAGGTTTTTAAACTCAGAACAGTCCTGAAGGATCTATCACTTTTGATTTGCATATAAAAGAAAAAAAATAACTGGATTTTAAGTATCCAGTTTTATGGAAAAGTTGCTTAAACCTGTCATTACTTTCCAGCTAAGAAACAGCTCACTTTACAACTCAAAAGCAATCTGTACATGCCCTTCCAAATGACTGGAACTCTTTTTAATTACAGACCCAAATTCCTTCATCAGCCTTGAAGATATGCTAGGTCACAATTCCATTACCCCCAGGCACGCCACCCAATGGGCAAGCATGACAGGAACTGCAGTGCAAAACATCTGCAATTCAACAGGCTGGGGAAGGCTGCTAGATGAATTTGGTTGTCCAGGAACAGATCTGTGCATTGCATATGGTATGTAAAGGCAACACCTGGTTGTAAAATGAGCACTGCAGAACTCTTTCGAGCTAGAAATAATGGTGTGTGGGCCACCAAGGAAGGCAGTACAGGCAGTCAGAATAACTACCATAACATAAAGATTTCATAAGCTATGTTAAAAACATAGGAAGCTGTTCTTTTCTTTAAAGCATGACAATGCAACATGACAAATTAGTACCGTGTGGTGTTGGACTGGGACTCAGAAATCTCCATTCAGCTATGAATCTCACTGGGTAACTTTGCACCAGTCATTGATTCCCAGCCTAGCCTCTCTCACAGGGTGGTTGTGAGGATAAAAAAGAGAGAAGGGAGTGTGAGCCTTGGGTTGCTTGCAGGAAAAATTATGGGGAAGAAGAATGGAATAAATACATAAATATTGCTCATCTAGCATGCACCATAATGTTGGTTTTGCATGCATTTTCTTTCATGGGCTTACCTTTGGGACTTTACACACTTTCTGTAGAGTGCATATAATTCTGTAATCCACCCAGAGCACCATTTTGGCTAATGGGTGGGATAGAAATCTAATAAATAAAATTATTTCATACAATCCTGTGCATATGCTTAGGTCATCAACAGGGTTTCTGCACAGCTATCCATTACAAAAGCTGGATGGGCAATTATGAAGGGCTCGGGATTCTTGTCAGTGGTCCCTCAATTAAGGAATGCTATCACAGCTTTGTTATACCTCACACCTTTGGTACAGTCCTTGAGGAAAGCTTTTGAAAACTTATTTTGTTCCAAGTGGACTTTTGCAAGCTGGTAGCTGATCTGCACATTCTGCTCTCATCAACCCGAAACCTGCTTTGATTTCCTCGATTTTTGTTCAGAAAGTATAGATTTTGTGTATAGATTGTATCCTACCTCTTTGCTGTGCCCTAAGCTGCTTTGTGTAGGTACTCTCTGAAACATAGGAGATAAATGAACTCCGCTCTCATCCCCATCTCCGACTAGTCTGTGTCCTTAAGCACTTTGGCAAAGAGAACTAAATACAACCAAAGTGATGAGATCAAAGAGAGGCACAACAGTATACAAGCAAAGACACAGGCAAAGAGCTTGGCTGAATCTCACCTTTAGCCTCAGAGTCTGATGAATCTCTGCTACAAGCTCCCCTTTCCACCATGGCTCTTCCATCCTTTGCATTCCCAGCCGAACAAAGTTCAGCCTGGTGAAACAGACAGCACCTGGGAAGGGGGCAAGAGAAAGGGAAATAATGGGTGTGATTTTAAAGACGTGTCTACAGTTCTCACAAACTCCCTCTTATCCCCAGCAATACCCAACAACCTCATCCAAGGTAGAGACTGGCATGCCTTAAGGCAGGGATGCAGAAGGTGTGGCTCTCTGAATGATACTGGGATGCAACTTCCATCATCCTTTACTATCAGCTCTACTGGCTAGGAGTGATGGGAATTGTGGTCCAGATACAAGCTGTTCTCTTCCCCTGTCTCAGCCCCATTAAAACCAACGGGCTCAGGTGTGCTTCACCTTGCACGGGACCCAGGTGTTGAGCTCTTTTGGTTAAGACACTATATTACAAGATTCCCAGCAACCCCCAAAACCCCCCCCCCCCCCCACACACACACACACACTCAGGTGCATTTTAACCAGAGAGAGAGAGAGAGAGCACGCGCGCGCACGCGTGCACCCAGGCAGATCCTGCGGCCAGGATAAACCAACCATTCAATTTCCACCCCCAAATGGGTAAAAAAAATCACTGAAATTGCCAAACTTCTCCATAACACTAGAATCTCTCCCCCGTTGTATAAGGCACGAGTGCACATTTTTATACAGCCAAACACGCCGCCCAAGGAATCTTGCTCAGTGCATCTTACTTCGATCAGCCTGTCTTTATCAGCACGTTTACCTGTAACCCACTCTGCTTGTTTGGTGGAGAACAGGAAGGCTTCCATATAAATGCAAGACACCAAAAAGATTCTCCCTTTCCCTCTGTGCTTTTCGGAAGCATTTTATGAATCAGCATGTCACAGGAGCAGCTTGGCTTTACTTTCTAACAGATTTCAGCGGGGCACAACACAGCCGTCCCCGGGCTTCCTCTGGGGCATTAGGACCCAAGCCGCCCTCGCTGCTTTCCCTCTTCCTATCGGTCTACCGGGAACTTAAGACTAGATCGCCTCCCGCCACCGCCCATTTAACACTTGGGAGCGTAAAAGGAGAAACAGAGCTTACAAGTAGGGTGGAACGTCTCACACTCGGCGCTTGGCAACTTTTGCTGCGCGCCGGACCCGATCCGCGCTGCAGTGCTTACCTTCTGCGACTGCAAAGTGGGACCGCCAGCCTTTGTCCCATGCGGAAGGCGGCTATTTCTGCTGGAAAGAGACCACAACCCCAAGGAACGTGGGGGTGGGCGAGAATTAAGGGGACCCCCCCGCCTCTAGTGGGAGACTGCGGGGAAGGGCGGAGGTCAGAGGCATACCCCCAGTGGAGGGCGAAAATAGCCCGCCCCGCCCCTTGTCCCCCAAGTCCCTGCTCTCTCCGTATGCAGGGGAAAGGACGAGCGAGCGCAATACCGGCTTTACACTGCGCATGCGCCCAGCCGTCGGTACCCTCTGGGTGTCGTAGTTCTGGCTTTCCTTACCGCTGCCCTTCCGCTTTTGCCGCCGCCCCGGTCCGCGGCTCTGCTAGTGATGTCCCGGCTCCCACGGTGCGCGCGCGAGATCCTGGGCGCTCGCCGCGGCTGCCGGGCTTGGGAGTGGGCCAGCCGGCACGCAATCCAGTCTTGATGCTCGCCTGTTTTCCGAGAGAGACTGCCACCCGTATGAAACGGTTGAAGAATTCTAGGCCTTATCAAGGGGTTTAATTTTATGCATTGGGCGTGAATGCAAATGGATTCTCGTTATCTCTACAGGTGTTAATTAATGCAGCCAAAGGCTTATCGTTACATCTTGGCATGGAATGATCAGTTGATTAAGATCCGGACTCTCTGGAAGAGTTCACCTCCTTCCCTTAGTGACAGCCTTTCCGCAGTACTTGAATTCTAACACCCCCCCCCCCCCCACACACACACGGCTTCTCTTCTCGAGGCTAAACATGCCCAGTTCTTTCCATCTCTCTTCATGGGGCTTTCTTTCCAGTCCCTGGATCATCCTTGCTGCCCTCCTCTGGACCTTTCCAGCTTGTCTGCATCTTTCTTAAACTGTGGTGCCCAGAACTGGTCAGTGCTCCAGATGCGGCCTAACCAGTGCTGAGTCAAGGGGAACTAGTGCTTCATGTGATTTGGAAGTAAGCCTTCTATTAATGCAGCCTTTATTTATTTTACAACTAAGAAAAAACAATACAATTAACACAACTACAACTAAACATCACTGATCAAACAACACATCAACGTCGTACTACCTCCACTGGGACCAACAACTCTTAATTACTTAACGTAAGATCATTTATTCATTCAGGTTGCCCCACTTCCTTCCAGAACTGCATTGACTCTTGTGTTGGTTCACATCCCTTTCCTTTCATTAAAACGTGTTCAATAAAAGGTTTCAAATATTTTCAAATTTATTTTCACTTGTCAAACCCTTTTTTCCATTTAATATCACAACTTAACATTAATAGCTATATTCCAGACTTCTTTATACCAGTCAACTATGATTTTCACCTTTTGTTTTCCAATTCCTTGCTATTATTCTATTTGTCATTCCTCTCATCCACATATTGTCTTGTTTTTCTTTCTGTAAAATTATATCTTCAAATTTAGTATATTCTCTGCATTTACCATTTTTCTTCAACTCTTAGCCCAATAATCTAACTGAAATATACCAATTTATTTTACCTTGTTCCAGTGTTGCTTGTATTATTTCTTTTCATTTTCTCGAACCAATCTTTCAACCTAATGACATATTTACTCTTCAAAACTTCCTTCAAGTTACTCCTCAGATTTACTGGGAATCTTTCTAATTCTGTAATTGGGTATAATGGCGAGATTGATGGAATAAACATATCCCTATATTTAGTCCTATTTTAACAAAAAAAGTGTTTCCTATCTTTTTAATAACATTATTATCTTGTTGAAGAAAAATATTTAATAAGAATCCCTCTACATCTTGATATTCTAATTTACCCCATATTATTGTATCCTGTTGCAATATAATATCTGGTATATGCCCCAGTTGATTAGCTATATAATAAAATTTCACATTGGGAAATTTTACTATTTAGCTAATCAAGCTGTTCTCTGGGGCATATACCCTCTTTTTTATTAATCCTTGCTTTTTATCTCTGTTACAGAATTTATTAATATTTTGCCATTCTTTCACATTTTAGGCACATATTTAACTAGTGATATAAAACCAAAGACTGGGAGTGGATTAAGAGGGAAGCACTCTCACACACACAAAATGTGATATCCTTGTGATATAATCACAAACGCAGTCATGATGTACCTTCAGGGCCACTCATTCTTGGTCCATTATCACATCAAGATATGGACATCAAGCTTCTGGTGGCCGGTGCATCTCTCAAATAGTTTCCATTTCTGATAGTATGAGAGAGAAATCACTCTATCTGTACCTCTAGAATATTACCAGAGCACGTAACCTGCAGAGTTTAGCATCTGTTTCACCTGTTGTGCAGGAACAAACAGGAACAGAGTAACAGTAAAAATATTTATTCACATTGATGCCTGAGTTTAGAGTCCTGATATAATAGTACCACAGAAGTTCTGGTGGGTGGGGGGATCCTATGACCTCTGCCCTCATGAAGGCACCCACACAAAGAGCAGTGGCAGTCCTCAAACATCGCTGAAGACTGGGTGCATGTCTTGCGTGTGGATCCAAGAGTGCATTCTCCTGGTTCTGTGATTCTGAGATTTTCTAAAACTATACCTGAAATGGTGAAATGGAGTGTGCCTATTTCAAGATTTCCTCTAATATTTATGCTGTACAACTATTCTTGTACCTTACCATATGGAAAGGTTGGGACACTAAAAGTGGAGAGGGACCAGTATTCCAAGATCTACAGGCTGATCTTGACTCATAATTTCTCCACCTCTTTTCTTCAGTGTTGATATTCCTCCAGTGGATGGTATGTAGCAAGGTTATTTCATGACAGCCTAAACTATAGGCTTTAACAACAACATGTTTCCAAAGGTGGTCTTTTTTTGTTGACTCATTGATGTTACAACTTTTAAATAAATTTTTAGAAGCCATCTCACACAACTTTTTTTTGAAAGGGAAAAAAAGATGATGATTTAAATAGTTACCAAATAAATGACACTTGCAAAAAAATAAAAAAAATAAAAAGCAAACTCCTCAGTTGATCTCTGAGGACTCCCAATCACTGCCCAGCTATCAAAACCACAGAATCTGGGAAGACCCATAGATTTTTTCCGCACTGTTCCATGGTGTGCCTTCAACAGCTTGTGTGGGGTAAGGGCTTTAGCTCCAAGTTCTATTATTGTCCAGCTCACTTCTGCAATATAAAGGTTGCCCAAGAAGCTTGAAGGACCGTGAAAGTGACAGAGCCCACAGTAATGAAGAGAATAGCCTATTATTTGCTGATTAAAACAAACCTTAATTTGATGGTGTAAACTGTGTCAGTGGTTTTTTGCTTGCTCAGCTAGCACTACCAATCAAATGGCATATTTCACTTTTCCTGTTTTAACAGAATTTTTAATGGGAAGCCAACAAATGATGGAAAGGGCAGTGGGAAAACTTGGGAGCGTTACCAATAGAAAACAATTCCATGAGAAAGGGCAATTGCTAGATAAATGGCTCATCTAGAAGCACTCCAGGCTGTGAATCACACTATTCCCCCCTCCTCCGCACCCTCTACAGAGTAATAGTATAGTCAACATCTCTTTTTTTAAAAAAGCCAGTTGTTCCTTTTTCTTTGCCTTTGGGAGATTCTTAGTTTTTCTTTAGCCACGATTCATGATTCAGATCATGTTTTAGATAGTAATATTAATTAGTGTTAGAGAGCAATGAAATGTCACAAAGTCATAGGCAAACTTGTGAGTTCTCCACAAATGGATACCAAGCAAAGCCAAAGGTGTGGCATTTGGGATTAGGAAAAACTGGACATGGTGTAAGTTGACTCAAAATTTACAGTTTATAAGGAATAAGATAGAGTGCAGGAGGAAGCACTAATGCAAAATTAATTGGGTACCCTACACTAGTTGCCAAGCACCTGAGACATTTGAAATAAGCAAAATTTGAAATAAGTATAAGAAAGAAATAAGATTTGAAATAAGCAAAATTAGCTGTTCCCACATGTCTGAAAATAGAAATGTTGGGCTCAGAAATAGAAGATCTAGAGTATTCTTGTGAACAGAAATGATCCTCCCATTCATGAAAGGGTCTATATTCCAAAGATAGGTCCATGTTCTTTAAAATGCATAAAAACTCCGTTTTGATTTGGAAACCAAACAGGAGCTGCTGTCCCTTTCTTCCCTCCCCTCACCCACTCATAATACCAATATTATTCTCTGCCACTTTGCTGAATTCAAATAGTGGGAAATATACTGTGGGAAAAATGGGAACGTACAATGGGAAAACCAGCCACATGTGGATATTCTTAATCGTCTTTTATAGCAATTCTACATAATATTAGGGCACAAGCACCATTAAAGAATGAGGACAGTGTCCAAGGAGGTCCTTAGGGACTGGAAGCTCTGGTTGTAGAAGAACTATAGTTCATCTTTTGCATGCAGAAGGTACTAGGTTTGATCTTTTCCACTTACAGGTAGCAGAATTATAAGTGGAGCTCATTTACCTATGAGTCCAGAAAGCCCCTGCCAGTCAGAGCAGGCAACACTATGTTCTCACCTCGGGTATGGCAGCCTCCTATGTTGATTGGATCCACCACAGACCTGCAGGGGCATCTCATTCTGTCCCCAGAGAAGATGACACCAGTGTTGGTTTGTTAACTCTTCCGTTTTCCCTCCCTCTGCCTTCCATAAACTATTTGCATACTCAGTTGATTAGTGATAACTGTTCTTTAGGAGGCTTGAAACAAAACACCGAGGCTTAGACTATCTATAAATATTATAGCAGTGGCTTTGGACCACAGTCCAGGCTAGATCTGCTTCTGCAGAGAATGGACTATTTCAAAGATGCACGCATATTCTAGCTATAATTTGTCATGCTCTGTTTTCTGATGGGGGTCTTGGTGTTGGCAATTCTCCCTTATAACTCACTCAGATAATCTTGGTCAGGGTATATCAGGAAGCCGGTAAAAAGGCTGTCTGTCCAGAAGGGATCATAAAAGAGTCCATTCTGTTCCGAGTAGAATATCTGCAGCCAGACTTCGTCCTCCTGCTTCAGGGAAAGGATCGTGGACCCAGAAGCAACATCATGGTTCCCAGTGTTGGCATCAAATGTCTTTATCCTGTATTGCCCATTGTGCACCAGCCCTATAGCCAAGTGTTTATTGGCCAAAGTGATATCATAGGCGAAGTAGTAGATGCCAGGGATACTGCATATAAACTTCCCACTTGAAGTGTTGTAGTTCCGACCTTCATTCATGAGCACCCGGTCGAATTTAATGGGCAGCCTCTCTCTTGGGTAGCTTTTGGTCACTGCAACAGAAAAGGCTGATCTGGCTTTCGAAGCTCTACAGCTGCAAGGACCAGGCATCCCGAGGCCTCCCTGTCCTCCTCTGGGTCCTTTCTTGCCTGCCACTCCACTTTTTCCAGGGTGTCCCTTCAGGCCCTTTGAACCACGGGGGCCAGCTCTGCCAATGGCTCCAGCCTTTCCTTTGGGCCCCACTTTTCCTGGATTTCCTGTTCTCCCTTGTGGACCTAAGAGGCAAACCAACTTCAGTGAGCATTCAAAACAGAGAGTGGGTAGCTATCCGTCATTGTACCTGGTGGTGTATCGGTAAATGCCCATCCCCATAAGCACGGCTCCAGGGAGAGCCCAAAAGTGTGTGTGTGTGTGTGTGTGTGTGTGTGTGTGTGTGTGTTGGGAGGTGGAGGGGAGCTACACCAACAAATCAGTTTTAGCAGGTCACTGGGAACATGTCTTAATGTGGGTTTTAATTGTCTGCTTAAGACAAAAAGCAAGCCCCCAAAACCAGTGTATGGACTTGAGTTGAGCGACTCACTCTCAGGTCTGACTCAAGTCATGCCAGTGATGCAACTCAGACTCGACTTGGGAGCAACGAGTGAGTGATTCAACTTGAGATTTCTACTTTTTATGACCAAGCTGCTTCAGGGCTTACTGTGGGGCAGAATATCCTGGAAGGCACACACACACACAGCAGAGGTGGCGGGAGGGAGCGAGTTTCAAGGGAGCGGGGCAGGTCAGGAGTTTCATTTATTTGTGTAAATAAATCGTGCTTGATGTAAAGGACTTCGATGCATCACCGAGAGAAGTGCAAATGGGAACACTGGGGTGGGTTTACAACTCTCCCACCTCCCCACACACAGCCCACCATCACCTCCATTTCCCCCCCTTAAAGTTGGCTCTTGAGACTTGACTTGAACTTGAAAGTAAAGTCTTGAGACTTGATTTGAAATTTGGAGTAAAGGACTTGAACCCATCATTGTACTTTGTGTTACAACAGGAATGTTGTTGTTGTTGTTGTTGTTAGTGAAGTCGTGTCCGACCCTTTGCGACCCCATGGACAACATTCTTCCAGGCTTTCCTGCCCTCCACCATCCCCTGGAGTCCACTTAAGCTCACATCAATTGCTTCAGTGACTCCATCCAGCCACCTCATTCTCTGCCATCCCTTTCATCTTTTGCCATCTATTGTTCCCAGCATTAGGCTCTTCTGCAGGAAGTCCTTCCTTCTCATTAGGTGGCCAAAGTATATGAGTTTCATCTTCAGTACCTGGCCTTCTAAACAGCAGTCAGGGTTGATCTCCTCTAGGACTGACCAGTTTGATCGCCTTGCGGTCCAAGGGACTCGCAGGAGTCTCCTCCAGCACCACAATTCAAAGGCCTCAATTTTTTGGCGCTCGGTCTTCCTTATGGTCCAACTTTCACAGCCATACATTGCAACTGGGAAAACCATAGCCTTGACTATACGCACTTTTGTTGGCAGGGTGGTGTCTCTGCTTTTTAGTATGCTGTCTAGATTTGCCATAGCTTTCCTCCCCAGGAGCAAGCGTCTTTTAATTTCTTGGCTGCAGTCCCCGTCTGCGGCGATCTTGGAGCCCAGGAAAATAAAATCTGTCACTACCTCCATTTCTTCCCCATCTATTGCCAGGAAGTGAGAGGACCGAATGCCATGATCTTAGTTTTCCTAATGTTGAGTTTCAAGTCAACTTTTGCGCTCTCCTCCTTCACCTGCATCAAGAGACTCTTTAGCTCCTCTTCACTTTCTGCCATGAGAGTGGTATCATCTGCATATCTGAGGTTGTTGATATTTCTCCCAGCAATCTTAATTGCAACTGGTGATTCATCTAGGCCCACCTTTCTCATGATGTGCTCTGCATATAAGTTAAATAGGCAGGGCGACAGTATATAGCCTTGACAAACTCCTTTCTCAATTTTGAACCAATCAGTGGTTCCGTGTCCAGTTCTCACTGTTGCTTCTTGACACACATATAGATTTTTCAAGAGACAAATAAGATGGTCTGGTACTCCCATCTCTTTAAGAACTTGCCACAATTTGTTGTGATCAACACAATCAAAGGCTTTAGCATAGTCAATGAAGCAGATGTTTTTCTGGAACTCTCTAGCTTTCTCCATGATCCAGCGTATGTTGGCAATTTGATCTCTAGTTCCTCTGCCTCTTCGAAATCTTGCCTGTACTTCTGGTAGTTCTCGGTCCACATACTAGCCTAGCTTGCAGGATTTTGAGCATAACTTTGCTAGCATGTGAAATGAGTGCAATGGTGTGGTAGTTTGAACATTCTTTGGCATTGCCCTTCTTTGGGATTGGAATGTAAACTGACCTCTTCCAAACTTGTGGCCACTGTTGAGTTTTCCAAATTTGCTGGCATATTGAGTGTAGCCCTTTTACTGCATTGTCTTTTAAGATTTTGAACAGCTCAGCTGGAATACTGTCGCCTCCACTAGCTTTGTTGTTGCTCAGAATTCCTAAGGCCCATTTGACTTCACATTCCAGGATGTCTGGCTTGAGGTCAGTGACCAGCCATCATGCTTATCAGGGACGTTAAGCTCTTTCTTGTGTAGTTCTTCTGTGTAATCTTGCCACCTCTTCTTAATCTCTTCTGCCTCTGTTAGGTCCCTGCCATTTTGGTCCTTTATCATGCCAATCTTTGCATGAAACGGTCCGTCATAGCTCCAATTTTCTTGAAGAGATCTCTGGTCCTCCCTATTCTACTGTTTTCTTCTATTTCTTTGCACTTTTCATTTAAGAAGGCATTCTTATCTCTTCTAGCTATTCTCTGGAATTCTGCATTCAATTGGGTGTATCTTTCTCTTTCTCCCTTGCCTTTCACTTTCCTTCTTTCCTCAGCTATTTGTAAAGCTTCCTCAGACAGCCATTTTGCTTTCTTGCATTTCTTTTTCTTTGGGATGGTTTTGGTTGCTACTTCTTGTACAGTGTTGCGAACCTATGTCCATAGTTCTTCAGGCACTCTGTCTAAAAAATCTAATTCCTTAAATCTACTTGTCACCTCTACTTGTATATTCAGCAGGGATATGATTTAGGTCATACCTGAGTGGCCTAGTGCTTTTCCCTACTTTCTTCATTTTAAGGCTGAATTTTGCAACAAGAAGCTCATGATCTGAGCCACAGTCAGCTCCTGGTCTAGTTTTTACTGACTGTATAGAGCTTCTCCATCTTTGGCTGCAGAGCACATAGTCAATCTGATTTCTGTGTTGACCATCTGGTGATGGCCATGTGTAGAGTCGTCCCTTGGGTTGTTGGAAAAGAGTGTTTGCTATGACCATCATATTCTCTTGACAGAATTCTACCAGCCTGTGCCCTGCTTCATTTTGTACTCCAAGACCAAACTTGCCTGTTGTTCCAGTTATCTTTTGGCTTCCTACTTTAGCATTCCAATCCCCCATGATGATAAGGACATCATTTTTTGGTGTTAACTCTAGGTGTTGTAGACCTTTGTAGAACCAGTCAACTTCAGCCTCTTCAGCACCAGTGGTTGGGGCATAGACTTGGATTACTGTGATGTTGAATGGTTTTGTCTTGGATCCGAACGGAGATCATTCTGTCATTTTGGAGATTGTATCCCAGTACTGCTTTTCCTACTCTTTTGTTGACTATGAAGGCTACTCCATTTCTTCTGAGGGATTCTTGCCCACAGTAGTATACCTGATGGTCATCTGAATTAAATTCACCCATTCCTGTCTATTTTAGTTCACTGATTCCTAAGATGTTGCTGTTCAGTCTTGTCATCTCTTGCTTGACCACGTCCAGCTTGCCTTGATTCATGGATCTTACATTCCAGGTTCCTATGGAGTATAGATCTTTGCAGCATTGGACTTTCCTTTCACCACCAGATACATCAGCAACTGAGTGTCCTTTCAGCTTTGGCCCAGTCGCTTCATTCTTTCTGGCGCTACTAGTACTATCCCTCTGCTCTTCCCCAGTAGCATATTGGACACCTTCCGACCTGAGGGGCTCATCTTCCAGC